TCTCAATTATCTCCTAAAACTAACGAAGAACAAGAGTATATGGAAAAAGTTCCATATGCTAATGCAGTTGGGAGCTTGATGTATGCAATGGTGTGTACGCGTCCTGACATTTCACAAGCAGTTGAAGTTGTGAGCAGGTACATGCATGATCCTGGAGAATGATATTGGCAAGCTGTGAAATGGATTCTACGGTATCTCCAACAAACCGTGGATGTTGGTTTAGTTTTTGAACAGATGAAGCACTTGGTCAATGTGTGGTTGGATATGTTAATTCTGATTATGCTGGTGATTTGGATAAGCGTCGATCAACTACTGGGTATTTGTTTACTCTTGCTAAAGCCCCAGTAAGTTGGAAGTCTACATTACAATCTATGGTGGCCTTGTCTACTACAGAGGCAGAATATATGGCAGTTTCAGAGGCTGTAAAGGAAGCAATTTGGCTTAACGGGTTGATGGAAGACTTGGGAGTTGTTCAAAGTCACGTTAGTCTCTATTGTGACAGTCAGAGCTCTATTCACTTAGCGAAAAATCAAGTCTACCATTCAAGGACTAAGCATATCGACGTGAGGTATCACTTTGTGCGGGAGATCTTTGAAGAAGGAAAGATTCTACTTCAGAAAATTACGACATCAGAAAATCTTGCAGATATGATGACCAAGGTGGTAACAGTAATCAAGTTCAATCATTGTTTGAACTTGATTAACATCCTGAAAGTATGAACACCTTCGGGTGTGTGGCGCTTGTGAGCGCAATTAGAGGCACTAAAAAATTGGGGAGTTGAAGAAGTTGAGTTGGCTTGGTAATTTCAAGCCAAGGTGGAGATTTGTTAGATTTGACTTGAAATTAAGTTGGCAAGTTGGAAATTTCATCTTGGTTGGTGGCCAACTTATTAGAAATTTCATCTTGGTTGGTGGCCAAACTTTGAACATGGGAATTTCATATTTGGTGGCTAACTTGTACACATTGAAAAATTCTTTTGTAGGTGGCCAACTTATTTTTCATGTTTAATCCCTAAAATATTAGGTTATTTATAAGTTTAGTCCTTAAAACTCAACTATAAATAGGCCTAAGTATTTCATTAGAAATCATCCCAAAAACAAGTTATCTCTTCCTCTTGTATTCTTCATTCTCCCACTTTGGGAATTCTAAAGAATTCAATTTGTTGTAATATTTGCGATATAGTGAATTTATCATCCGTGTGGTGCCCGAGGAGTAGACGATATTCTCGTCGAACCTCGTAAATTTGGTGTGTTCTCTCCTTTATTGTTTTTATTCAGTTTTTCCATTGTGTTTCAATTTTCAATAGTTTGACAGGTTTATCCGCTGTGCAACCTTTGGTGGTTTTGATCTTGATATTTTAGGTCAATTTTGAAACTACGTTCGTGTGGGAAATAACTCGATTTCCTAACAAATGGTGGTTGAGAATAAGATACAAATGGTTAAATACGAGAAACTCCATCTCATCTGCTTCTCCGTGAGAGATTTGTCCATTTGAAGAAAGTTCCTAAGCCTAGTAACCAAAATAACGACTATAACCCCTCTGGCCAGATAAGTTCCTTGCATACCTCTGCAACCTCTACATCACAAGTGTCAATCTAGTTAACGTGGCAAAGAAAGTAGAGGAAACAAAGTTGATAATCCAGCATTAGCCCTTTATGGTCCTTGAATGATGATATAAAGACTATGTCGAAAATAGCCTTATGGGACGACAAAAGAATCAGATTAAATCAAAGTTACCAAGGGGTCAAGATCGCGATTTGATGCCTTAAATGATGATTCCCATAAGCATGAAAAGTTACCTAGCCAAAATGGAGAAAGTACGATAGCAAATCACGTTTCGTTCGCTTCTAAGGTACTTCCCAAAAAAAGCTGGAAACAACAAATCTCCACACAATATTGCGAGGCAATCACAGTGCGAGACTCCTCCAATAGACAATCAAGTTCGAAGTCTACAAAACCAGGGAAAGCCATAACTCAACCTAAAAAGGTAAAAGGAGATCCAAATTATTGCTTTAGGGCCCATAATCCCATAAAAATACGCCAATAGTAAGTGTTAATACTCACCCTCAAAATATGATGGTTAACTACCCTATTTTGACCATGAAGGATGAGCATGTGGATACTTCCATGCAATAGACGAATCTCATGCATTCTAATGACCCTTGGATAATTGAGATAGTTAAGTTAAATGACGCAAAATTTCTTTTGAGCACCAACCCAATGTTAATTCTCTTAGCTTAGAGGGATAATCGTTGCCTACTATCCTTAACCCCAAGATGCACCATGTCATTGTCTTCAACGAAGGCCTAAATTTAAATGATAATACTCATCAGGAAAATTCTAGTAGTCGAATACACTACATTTCGAAGGATTGAGTTTCCCCTTACGTTCTTAGGAACAAAAGGATCAACACAAAAGGTAACTCCTCGACTTGCCTGTCCATCCAAGATACAATATAAAATGTTATGCAAAGCATCCAAGGTAGGCCTGTAAATGAACTGAACGTTCAGCGAACCGTTCATGAACCGTGCGGCGGGAAGTTCGTTTATGTGCGTTTATTTATTAAATGAACGAACATGAACAAGATTTTGTGTTCGTTTAATTAAATGAACGAACATGAACATAGGTCTTGTTCGTTCATTTACGTTCGTGAACGTTCGGTTATGTTCGTTTATATTCGTTTAGTTATGTTCGTTTATGTGCGTTCATTTATGTTTAACCTAATATTCTTAAATCAATTTTGGTGACCAATTTGTATGTATCTTAAAAATATTAATTAATATGATATTTTGATGACCAACTTCATAATTAACCAAATTTTACAGCCTGATTAAGCGGTAATACAAAAAACCCTAAATCTAAAAACAATATTTTCTCAACTCTTCTCCAACCCGTCATTCATCTGTTCTTGATTCTCAACTCTCCCCACCCTCCACAATTTTCATTTTTGCAACGATTCGACGGAGCTTCAAGTCTTCAACTGCAACGATTCGACATAGCTTCATCTCTTTCCCTTCTTGAACGTGATTTCATAAGGTAAATCATTTGAATTTTTTTTTGGTCTGTTAATTTTGGGGTGTGAATTTAGGGATTTTTTGTGGCATCTTGAACGATGTGGAACCCCTTGTACGCCGCTATGAACGGTGCATTCGATCAGTCGGTCTTCTCCAGCCCACCCCTCGTTGCCCAGTCATCCGCGTTAGAGTTGCCCTTAGGGAGTCCCAGTCAAATTTGCGCTTATATCCTCTAGTGGGGGAAGAAAGTGGCGTGGTCAGTGGAGCGCTGCTGGATATGGTTGCAATGTTGAGGAGGAATGGAAGGAGGTGAGTCGAGGTATTTGAATTGAAACGAGTCAGACTCGGGCATAAGGAAGATGAGGGACTCGCATGGTAGGAAGGTTCAGGGCTTGGGAAAGATGAAGACTGTGGACTGGGATGGTGGAAGGAGAACAATATTAAATTTAACATTTTGTCAAAAATGGCTGCTGACATATTGGCATTTCCGGTCACTACTGTTGCTTCTGAATCTGCTTTCAGTGCTGGTGGGAGGGTTATTGATCCGCATCGATCCTCTTTAGGAACTAAGATGATAGATATGCTTGTTTGTGGAGCTGATTGGTATCGTCAATACTATGGGTTGGAGAAAAATAAAAACAATGTATTTTTATGTTTTAAGTTTTATTGAATTTGGTTTTACAATGACTAATATATTTTTGGTTTTTTGATTTGTTGTACCAAAACGAAGATATCATACATGTTGAGATTCCTTGAAAATGAGGATGAATGAATTGGTATAACCTCGCTAATTTAGTATATTTTTCATCTTTTGTTATAACTCCTTTAATTTAATATAATTTTATTTGTTTGATTTTGATCAGGATGGATGATGAATTAACGACTGATTATTAATGCAAGTTGAATATGTTACGAATATTATTGAAGTTGTTTGGATTTCAAGAAGATTGTTTTGTTGAACAAATTAACTTTAAGACTTTATTATATTCATATAGCTTACTTATGATTTATGTATGTTTTTGTCGTGTTCGAACAAATTAACTCTAAAGTTGTGTGAATCATTTAATATCTTTAAAAGATTGATCGAAATATCTGATATCTTCAAACATTTCATCACTGCTAATCAGCTCTTACGCTATTATCACTGTAGATTTGGTTTATTTGCATTGTCGACTATTTTTCATGAAAGAACAATGGAAGGTAGGGTCTCCAACGTTTATGTTCGTGTTCATTTATGTTCGTGTTCGTTTATGTTTGTGTTCGTTTATGTTCGTTTATTTATTAAATGAACGAACATGAACAAGCTATATTCCTTAATGAACGAACATGAACAAAAAAAAATTTGTTCGTTTATGTTCGTGTTCGTTTATGTTCGCTTATTTATTAAATGAACGAACATGAACATACATCCGTTCGTGTGCGTTCGGTTCGTTTACAGGCCTAATCCAAGGACAAACTGTATTCCCAAGGTTTTGAACTATAGAATTAGAGTAAGTAGACGCTGTCTAGAGCAACAACCATTAAAGGTACCTCTCATCTTCTTGTTCATGGATTTTAGATTAATGACTTAGAATTGTCAGTGATGGGGTGGATAGAGATTTCCATGACTCCTTAAAGAATACACTCAAGAGCATAACCTTCATATGATGGACCTTTTGGAAACTTGTATTAGTGGATGCGAAATTGATAGTGCCATCAATGAAGGGGCTTCGATACTTCGTACAAAGTAGAGGCAGTCAATTTTTCTGGAAGAATTTGGTTACCTTGGAATAAGTCTCTTTTGATGGAAGTGGTGGCGACGCATCCATAATTAATCCTTGCTGAAGTCTCTCGGAACACGCCTTCATATCACTTTTTATCAGTATTGTCTACAAAAATCCGGAGAAAAAGAAATAGAAGGCCCTTTGAGGCATTTAAGCAACATCCAACTGACTAAGAGAGCCCCATGAATTTCGGTTGGAGATTTCAATGTGATCCTTTCCAGTGGAGAAAAGAAAGGTGAATCTAGAAGAGGGCTTCATTGTAACCTTTTTTTTATGAGTTCATGGATAAACAATGCCTCTCGAATTTAGGGTTCACAGGCCCTCAATTCACTTGGTCTCGAAGCGGTTTATCCAGGGTTTCAAATCACATCTGAAAACGTGATAGTACCCGCGAAATAGCGGTTTTGCCGCCGTTCGAGTTACCCATTACACCCGCAACAACGTCCGCGACAGCCACAATCACAATAAACCTGAAATGATCAAAAACGTGACATCGATTTGAAACCCTGAGCTTATCCAGATGTTTGGACATGATGATGGCCAATGTTGAATGGTATGATTTTTCTTCGAATTCATCCATCAAGAATCTCTTATGTATAAAGTTGGACCACCAGCCCTTGCTTCTCTATTTGGCTTTCTTGATCACCTCGCACCATCCCCTATTGTTCAATTCCTTGCTAGTTGGACTAAACACCCCGACTTCACCTAATTTTTTCGTGATAACTAGACAACCCAAGATATTCTTGCAAACTTCTTACATAATATTACTGCCTCTCTTAACCTTTAGAACGTAAAGGTATATGGGTACATATTCTAGGGGAAGCGGAAGCTTAAAAAGCAGCTAACCATGGTTCAAAGTACGTAAGAAAGTAGCAACAACGATCAGCTTCTCGCAAGGAATTGGATATTAAATATAAATTGGAGTAAATTTTTTTAGCATGAAGAACTTATCTGGAAGCAAAAATCTAGAAGTCAATGGGTCATTGAAAGAGATCGTAATACCAATTTTTTTACCATCAAACGACGAATAGGCGAAGATCTAACCGTAATCAAGCTTTGAAAATTAACGGAGAGTAGTGTTATGATGAAGACAAAATTCCTACATAAGCCTCTAGTTTCTTTTCCAAGCTCTATCGGGAAGATGAAAAAAAAAACAAGGATGTTTCCCATCTGAGGTATGTTTCCTAAACTCATGGAAGGCGACGTTGAAAGCTTTGAGGTAATGGTTACTAAGGATGAGATTAAGCAGGCTCTTTTCGATATGAACCATCTAAAGCGTCTAGAAAATATGACCTACATGCTCTATTATTCCTAAGTCAATGAGAGACGGTGGGTGACTCAGTGAGCAATTGGGTTAAAGGTATTTTTAACGACAACTCTTATCAAATATGAGGTTAATAAATCCCTTCTTGTTTTTATTCTTAAAATTGACAATCTTGCTTCTTATATTGATTTTCATCTGATCAGTCTCTATTCTATTATGTATAAACTAGTTATAAAAATTATTGCTGAACGATTTAAAGCAATTTTCCTAAAATTATTGCTTTGAACCAAGCTAGTTTTATTGCAGGTTAAAATATTACTGATAATATTCTTGTAGCTCAAAAGGCGGTCCACTTTATAAAGCAGAAGAAGGGTAAAACCTAATGGTTTGTTATTAAAGTTGATATAGAAAAAGGTTATGATAGAGTCGGTTGAGACTTTCTCTTAGATTCTCAGACTTAGCAGAGGAGACTATCATTCATGTGCTGAAAGATTGTCCATATGCACGGGAGACTCTAGGCCTAGCGGGTTTTCTTGGTTCGATTAGCTCTTTCAATGTCACGTCACCTTTGTTTTGGCTTGAAACTGTGGCTCCTATTATGGGTTTGGACAGATTCGCTAAATTTATAGTGATTTTATGGAATATATGTGATGAGCGCAATACACAGGTTCATGATGCCAAGTATCAGTCCCCATGGATTGTGGCCCTTAATGTTCATTCGTTTTACCGGGACTACCTCTCGGCCAGAAACCAAGTTGCTCGTGGAGCAGTTACCCTACGCCATCATCGATTAGAGGACGACCCAGTTGCTAGGTACATTGAAGAGGAAGAATTTAAGCGAGATTGTTTTTAAGTTTAAGTTTTTTCGAACTCTAGTTAAACTTCAATTTTTTATTTCGAGTTTAAATTAAAGAGTTTAAGCTCTCGAAATTTTTTATTCGAGATGAGCTTTAAAAAAAATTTGAGTCAAGTTTAACAATTTTAAGCTAAAACTTTCGAGTCGAGTCGAGTTCAATTTTAAACTTTTCAAATCAAGTATAACTCAATAATACTCAAACTCAATTTACTCATTCACAAACCTAGTTATATTACATACGAAATAAATGATAATAACATGACTCCTATATTTTTAAACAATTTTTTAGTAATATTATAAAATTAAACAAAAATAATATAAGATCCGGAACCAAACAAATCTTATGATTCATGTGTAACTTTAGTGGTTGACATTATGTTTTTCTATTTATACTTTCTTTTCGTTTTCTAATTCGAAATTATATTAATTTGATTTATTTTTCATTTTAAATTAATTATAAATTTAATTTATTTACACAACTTGGACATTAAATAGACAAAATAAAGTCAACTCGGTTAACTAGCTCAATGACTATTGGGTTCTAGTCAATTTAATGGATCCAAGATTAATAGACTTGGGTTAGATTCCAATTAACTTTTTTTGGATCAATATGCAATTTCCCCCCTACAAAACAACCCTTAATTCCTGAATTTAACCATTTTTATTAAATTAATTCATGAACTTCTATTTCATTTATATTAGTTTTTGTATTTTTTATTTTTTTATAATATTATATCATGGTATTGTTCGGCCTGCACACTCTTAAATGTATCGTATCCAAAGCAAATTTAGGACCAGATTAAAAAATTACAAAATTCAAGGACTAAAAATTACTTCATTTTTAATGTCATCATTCAATTTATATTTGAGAATTTTGGATATAACAATTAAACACAATAAAAGAACATAAACATAACGATAATGCTGGCTAATGACAAGTGAATCTCATTATAATCTTTTCATTATCATTATTCAATTTATATTTCAAAAAGGCATTTTAATTTTCCCTCACATTTTTTATTAAACTGAATCAACTAGTAAAAATAATTAAAATTTTAATGTTTTATACTTTATAATTTTATATTTTAAATATTTATAATAAACTAAATATATTTTACATTTATATTTTTATTTTTAAATATTATTTTTTTACAAAATGATAAAATAACTAATGTCAATATTAATAAAAAGATAAAAATAACCGATATCTACTTCACGAGGTTGTTATTTTTTTTCTGTTGGTCAATTTAATTTAATAAAATAATAAATAATAAAGTTATTTTTATAAGAAAATTAAAGGTAAAAAATGCCATCTTTTTCGTGCTGTTGCTACCCAAAACTTTTTAACTAACCAACTTTCCTTATTTACGCTTATTATTGTGCTTAAGAAGTTGTAAATATAGATAATTGAAATTTTATTATTTTTAATTAATGATAATTTTTTATTTTATTAAGAATTAAATTAATAAAAAACATAAACATATGAAACTAAAAAATATTTTGCTTTCTTTTAATAACTTCATATTAGTAATTAATAATAAAATCAGATAGGATCATAATTTTAAAAAAATAATATATAATTTTTTTTTTTAAAATAACACAACAACTCTGAAACATTATTATTATTAAAGGAAAATTGGGCTACGTAACCTTACCTACTTTCCGAACATGTCACATAATTAATAATACTATTACGGCTTATATAGCAAAATTGACCCTGACAAATTATACGATGATCAAGTAATTATTTTAATGAAATATTATTTAAATTAAATATGTATTTAAAAATTCATGATCAAATAAGATGTAATATTTAATTACTATATAATTTTGAATATTCATTCAATTAAGATGTATTTCAAATTTTAGAATTTATTGGTTGCAGATTTTCAAATAAGAACTAAGTTTAGACAATATTTCACTTAAATATTTAAGTAATTATCGTCTAATTTAATAGAGATCAAATTATTATAATAACATATTAATATTGATGAAATAGTAATATTATTTAATATTTTTATCAGAATTTTAGATTCTTTTTATCAATTTCTAAATATAATTATATTTAAATGGAAGAGGAAAGAGACTCTAGGGGAAGAAATAAAAGAGATTTGAATAAGTTTATAACATATGACTTAAAAGAATATGATGAAACAAATATGAGTAACTGACCAACAATCAAACGTACTTATTCAGAGTTTTAGTATTATTAAAATTCAAAATAGTACTCTTTAAAATAATTTTAAAATTTATTTAAAGATATTAAATACAATTTAGAAATAAAATTATAAAAAAATATTTGTTTAATTTTGATTCATTTATATTTTTATTTTACACAAGTATATAGTAATGATACAAATACGATCAAATTTCTTTAAAAATTATCTAAAACTCTGTACATTGGCAGGGTATAAACATGTACGTTACTTTTAATTGTTTATTTTTATTTATTTAACGATTTATAAAAATATAAATAAAAAAACTCAACACTGTGTTAGTTAATCTTATCCCATATTAAAGTATATTGCCAGATTAATTTTTAAATATAATTTAAAAGTAAATTATAATTTATTTTTATAATTAAATTTAACATTCGATTTAAAAATTCTTATCCAATATCTTAGTTAAGCTAACTGCATTGATCTTTATATATTAACTAATTACATAATGTTTCATTTAAAAGAAACCAATTACGGTCAATTCAAAACCAATTGCGTAATCCATTGATTATAAAACTTTTGCATTGAATGTAGACCATATATAGGCCTGGGCCTCACATGTATATTGGATTTTGTTTATATGAAAATTAATTTAAAATGATTTGCAGCTATTTTTTATTTATAATATATATTTGATGATAAATACTTTATATATAATTATTTGCATATTTTTTAAATTTTAGAATTTCGACATAAAATTTAATTTGAGATAATATTATTATAATAAGGTAATGAATCACCTTATTAGTATTTATCATATTCAAAAAAAAATACAAGAAAAGAATTGAGCATCCATAAATTTGGATTGTTCATGGACGGTTAACCGTATCGTTTAGCCTAAACTATTCTTTTAAAACTCACAGTTATAGTTTCTAGAGTTTTTTTTCTCATTAATATTCTTTAGGTAATTATTTTTTATAAAATTATGAATTAATTGTATCACATGTTCCTAAATTATAATCTTTATTTTAAATTGATCTTTAAATTGTTTCATATTTCATTTTCATCCATAAATTATGACTCTTTTTCATTCCTAAACTATGACATTCAATTTAAATTAATCCCTAATCTTTTGAATATTTCAGTTTTATCCAAATATATAATTAGTTTAATCTATTTTTTTTCAAACACAATAATATAAATTTGCCTGATAATTTTATTAATAAGGAATGTGATTAATAAATACATAAAATTTAGGATGGAATTGAAACATTAAAAAATTTAAAAATTAATTTAAAATAAAAATCATATTTTAAAGAAATATTCGAAAATTCAAAAATTGATTTAAAATGAAAGTTATAATTTAAGAAAATATTTGTTTCCATCACCGCCGTGTTTTCGGGGTTTGGTGTTTGACCAATCTCTAAAATGTATTAATTTAATTAAACATATTAACTCGGATTAAAGTAAAGCATGCCCACTTGGCGGCGGCTTAAGCAAATCACTTTCACAATTGAACAATTAATATAATAAAACTATCATTATCATTAAAAGATATCAACCTTCACATGGATATCTCTCAAATGTCACATTTCGTCACAAAGTTGTTAGAATCAAATAAAACATTATTTATTCGAAAAAATCGTCATTTTAATATTGTGATGTCAGAAATATTTTTTGATATTTGATTGAATGATATTTTGATTTTTTAAATAGTTTAAATATTAATGTTTTATTTTAATTAATTACATCATATCAATAATAAATATTAATAGATAATTAATAACGTTTTTAAAAAAACTTTTAACTATTAAAGGCTTGAAATGGTGTAATTATTTGGAGCACTAATTAAATCAATGATTTATATATATATATATATATATATATATATTATAAATATAGACGAGTAAAGAATATATTTATAAATATAAAAAATCGTTATTTGACATAAAACAACTCTAATAATGTTCAATTATTTCTTAATTTCATAAATGTTAAAGAATTTAAAGTTTTTTCGTTATATATAGTTTTGATTACAAAAGGTCGAAAATAATAATAATTTAACAAAATTGACCCCTATGAACTCAAAGCTGTAGAACTAGAAGAGATCTAGACAACCCATTTGTATATTCTCACAGTTCCCACAAATTTCGCTTCTTTGAAAACCTAATTGCCAACACAAACAGACTGGCTCAGGCTTCTCAGGCAAACCGGAACTCGTTGCTGAAATCTACCTTCCGTTTGGACTCGGCCGAGCTGGCTGAGTTCTTTCCAGCTGAACTAATCCCAATCGAAAGCTCCAAATTTAACTCGTGCCGTTGTTCTTTATCTGTACTCACGCCACTGCGAGTACAGTTGGACTCAGATTTGACCTTCACTCGAAACTCACCGTATTTGAAATCCAGAGGTATGGGTGTGACGGAAATGGTTTTGGCAACAGCGGTCGCGTTTCTAAAATCCAATTCACTGGGTGCGACGGGTTTGGCTTTAGCGGTGCTGCTTTTATTGGAGGTTTGGTTGAGAGGACGATGCGTTTGGGGATCGATTCCTTCACTCACAAGCTTTCTTTTGATGTGTGTGTTCCAGTAGTTCTTGATCTCGTTATCTGTTCTTCCCGGTAATCTCCCAAAGACCATCTGCAAATAGAATAATAGATTCATTAACTAAAAAAAAGAGATGCAAATATATTTTACTAAAACAAGTAAAAAAACAGACTTGTTTCCAAGTAAACTGTGAAGCTTGATGATAAGTTGATCTTCATCTTCACTGAAATTTCCTCTCTTAAGATCAGGTCTCAAGTAGTTCATCCATCTTAACCTGCAACTTTTACCGCACCTAAGCAGCCCTGGAAGCATTTGACAAACCAAACTGAGGAAAAAGAAACAAAAAAAGATGTTAAAAAAGGGGAAAAGGTTAACATACCGGCAGCTTTGGGGAGGGAACGCCAAGAACCTTCGCCATGGACACGTATATAATCAATGAGGCGGTCGTCTTCCTCCTTGGTCCAGGCGCCTTTGTTCGTATGTGATTTCTCGAAACAGGGTAATCGTCCCATGAAAATCAGATCCTGCAACAACAAGTAGTAGGATTGAATGGGAGGAACTTGTTTAAGGGAAATGGACAAGTTTGAGTTTTAACTAAATATGGAGGAGGGATGGTGTTTTGGTAAGATGATGGTTTCGTGGAAGATATTTAATTTGGGGGGGTTCTGTTGATGGAATGAGGATGGCGATGGGATTTGACCAAAGTTGGTAAGAAACCCGAAGTGGTTAGTTAAAGATAGTGTGGGTTTTGGTAGGTAGCTCTGCTTTTACGTCAGAATTCATGTTATTTAGCCCCTGTTCCCTTTTCCGATTTCATTTCACCTGCCTAATTGAGATGACTAATATTTCATTTGTTTTAATAATTCTTTTTATTTGATTTACAAAATTAATTATTTATCATCATTTTTAGAGAAAAATTAAAATCTAAGTCGAATTATAATATATAACTGAAAACTTTTAATCATATATGAAATGTGTTATATTATATATATACTTATAAAAAATTATTTAATTTAAAATTAAATAATACCATAACATTATAAATATTTATAATTAAATTTAAATAATTCAAATTAAATTTCATAAATTTTACTCAATTTAAAAAAATTAAATAAAATTTAAATTATAAAATAAAACTCATTTAATCCTCAACCCTAACCCTAACCAGTCACCATCGACAGCGTGATGGTAGGCAAAAGTTAATCAATCTTTTTTACGGTTTCTGTCGGCACTTTGTTTATTTTCTGATGCCTAATTCTTACCCGTAATCTTCAGCTGCCTTTTAACTCCTACCTCGTCACTGAATATCTAGAACATTTTAATATTTCAAGTTCAAATATGTGATAATCTTTTATCATAAAATTTATCATAAATTCAAATTTTAGTAACTATCTTTTATTTTTTTATACAAATATCTAAAATATTAAAAACATTTACGAGTTATTACATCACACATCTTTAAATTATAACTCTTATTCTAAATTAATTTTTAAAAATTTTAAACATTCTAATATTATACTTAAATTACAACTCTCGTTCTAAATTAATTCTCAACCTTTTAAATTTTCATTTAATCCCCAAATTGCAACTCTCATTCTAAATTGGTCCCACAAACCTCTAAACATTTCAATTTCATCTCAAACTATCGATATATACTAATCATATTCCTAATTAATAAAATCTTTAGACCAAGCTCTATTAGGGATGGCAAACGGGCAGGTCGGGTGCGGATACCCCCTCCCCCATCCCCGTACCCACCTAATATTTTCAATCCTCCACCCGCCCACCACCCATGATGGGTAAATTTTTTCAAATCCACACCCGCCCACGCGGTACATTCTCAAATCCATCCCACACCCACTACCCAACTGGAGACTTACCCGGCTAGACCCGCCTGACAGCAAACTTAAGTTATACCGGGCAACAAAAGTCCGGTATAAACAGAAAATTCGCAGAGGTACATGAATAAGGCTGCACATTGACACCCATTTCTCGGATTCAAGATTAAAAGCTACCAATGCACGGTCGTGATATAGGGTTTTGATTTGATCTATAAATTGGTTGCCAGTATAGTACCTGGCTCAAGGCATTCCTTCGGAGTATTTGTTCGTTAAATGGCTTCCCAATGCTTCCATCACAGCTCGGCACACAAAATTTTCGGAAGCAATAAGCTCAATTCCTAACATTTGCTTTGCTTTTCCTTTTTCATAATTTCATCCACATCTAGATCCGCTTCTTCTAGCCGTTGGTTTCCCCATGAACAGACGGCTACTTGCGTTGCTCCAAACTGGGCTCGACAGCTAACCATTTGCAAGGGTTCAAACAGGTTTAGAATCCTTTGTCTTTTGACACACATAGATTGTCCTAGAATTATAATTTCTTCATCTTCATTATTGAAGTCTTTTTGCTATCCGCTCTTGAAACGAGGAACACCGTCTTTTGATTTCATCTCTTTCCCTGCACCAGCAACCAAAAAAGCTTATACAAATATAAGCAAATGATCCAGGATGCATAAAATATAGCCCGATATTTGGATATTACTTTGCATTATCTCAATCTAGAAAAAGAAGATCAAAACATAACTAAGAGGATTAGATCTGAAAACCGGAGTATTCACCTTACGACAAATTAAAGCAGCCACAAACAACTTTAATGCAACAAACAAGATTGGGGAAGTTGGTTTTGGACCTATGTATAAGGTGACATACAACTTACTACACACAAAGGAGATCAGAGTAAAGACTAAAGAAGAGGAAGAATGTGTACCTGAATGAGCTGGATACCAGAATTTGAAACTTAGAGAAGAAAACTATCAAAATATCGACGCGGTAACCAGCAAGCAAACACGAGATTGTACCTAAATTCATAAACTTATCCCTAAGATTTGGTTAAATTATAAGTTATATCTTATACAATACTAAGATTTATAAATTAGTCTATAAAATTATACCTAAATTCATAATGATCCAAAATTTAATGGATATTTAGTGGGCGGGCAGATGCGGGGCGGGCAAGGTATCAAACCCATCACCCGCCCACTACCCGCGACGGGTACCACTTTTTAAATCCACACCCGCCCACTACCCGCTAAAGTTATACCCATCTCCGTCCCAATTGGAGCAGGTACGGTGCGAAATCCACAAAAATACCCGTTTGCCATCCCTAAGCTCTATTATTATATTTTTGAAAAAAATAAAAAATAGGTTAAACTATGGTTGAAACTACTTACTCATTTAGATGAATTTGGGGATGAACTTAGAATATTCAAAAGTTTGAGGACCAATATGGAATGAGGTGTTTGGAGATGAAATTAGAATATTCAAAACTTGAGTATTAATTTAAAATGCGAGTCATAATTTATGAATAAATTGAAAAATTTAAGGCTAAATTACATGTTTACTCTTTCTTCTATTTTATTCAACGTAGTTTTAATTTTTTTTAATTTACTCACTCAAATTTATAAATAAAATTTTTTAATCACTTTTTCCCTAACCATGTGATGATGTGATATTTTTTATTATTTTTTAACCCATTAATATTTTATTAATACTATTTATATATATTTTTAGTATCCCTTATTTACCACTCCCCTTCCCCTTCCCCTTCCCCTTCCCCTTCCCCTTTTAATTAACTATGTTTTTCCTTCCTTGAAACTATCCAATCTCACAACCAAAATCAATCGCACCCCAACAGCCTTCGGATGAGGGCTGGCCACGCCAATAACGACCACTACTCGGTGGAGATAAATCTTCAACTTTACTCTCAAAACCCCATTTAACAGAAGTCCTCTCATAGAGAAATCGATGAGCAATTCGATCCCTCCAAGAAACGCTCGCACAATTTATGGATTAAAATCTTGTAAGTTGTCAAGGAAAATGCGTACCCAAATCAAACCATCTCGTTCGCCATCTCAATAACTTCATCAACATGGGAATTTTGAAACTAACCACAGTAGGCCTACAACCTTTCTCCTCCATCTCCCTAAATAACTTCAACCCCAATTAAAAATTCCCATCCTCACAATAACCACTAACCAGTGTATTAAAAGTACACCCATTTAGTTTCACAGTCTTTTTTCATCATTTTATAAAACCTCAAGCCTCCTCAAGATTTCCATTTTCAAATACCTATTAATGAATACATTGTTAAAAAAATCATGCCTCCCATCAATCAATTTCTGTATGGTTTCAGAAGCAAAAAGATTTGCAAAGCACATTGATAAAGAACGAATTCCATCTGAGGGAAAAAGAATATATCTGGAGAGCAAGGGTAGGGGTTGACGGCTATGAAAATAGGAAGAGAACGAAGCAGAGAAAAATGGTGGGAGGAAGTTAAAGAGAAACTGGAGTTTTTTTTTTCCTACTCAGTGGCGATGGAACTTGATTTGAGAAAATGAAAGGTTTTGGGGTTAAGAGTATCTTATTTTTTTAACTATTTTTATTTTTAATTATTTTCCTTTTACTTGTATTTTAATGATTTTTTTTTTATTTTAATACATGTTATAATGCTGTTAAAAAGTTAACTAATGGTGGAATCACTAAAAAAATTTATATATAAAGTTTAATGAGTAAATTGAAAAAAATTAAAAGTATGATGAATGAAATAAGAGAGAGTTAAGTTCAGTGAGTATCAGTGTAATTTACTCAAAACTTAAAACGCCTCTTTGAACTTTCTCTTTAGGCAAGTTACTCAAGTGGTCTGAGAGCTTTTACAATACTTTTATTTTAGTCATCGAATATTCTTGCAATTTCATTGTTAATAAAATTTTTCTTTTAATCCCTTAATAATTAAACCCCCTAACGATTTTGGCATAATTTTGACCAAATACTTTGATATGTTATGTTCAACCCTATTCACCTTGAAATTTTGTCCTCACTTGAAACACAACCCTTTTAAAATAATTTTTAAATATTGGTATTATTTTTTAATGAACTAAATTTAAATGTATGATTGATACGGGAGAAAAATACTTTATAGTCATCATAGGATCCAAGTTGTAACAAAGGAGCAAAGTTACCTAAACGATCTCTCAATGTAAGCAGGTCTCTTTCTTATAACGAAAATGCTAATTAAGTGAAATTATAATCATTCAAAGAAAAGGAAGGATAGGTATTACATAAAAATATTTTACACTAATAATTTATAATTAAATTTAAATAAAAACATTTTAATATATAATTGATTAGGAACACACTGATTTGAATTTGATTTAAAACAAACCGGATGTTTATCTCAAATTTTACAGACCTTATTATCATTCAAGGAGAAAATAACACTTTCAAAAAAATATTTTTGGACTTTGAAATATTTATTCTTGAATCTATAGTTTTAAAAAAATTCTACAATTTTTAAATATATAATATAATATATTTTAAGGGTTCTTTTTAGTTTCAAAAAACCCTTAAAATACCATGTAATAATTACTCAAGAACTATTCAGGGGGGGGGATACCATCCATAAAATGGGCGACAAAAGAGCAGAAATTGTTAATTGTCATGATATAACGTTCTGTACACACAACAAAAGAGAAAACTAAGTATAGCTTGGATTCAGTTTAATTCCCCCTTGATCTCGAGGCTTGAACAAGCAATGCAACTATCATCCCTTAACTTTTCACATACAAAAAAAGTAGTTAACAGCTTGTGTCACTCAGCATCTGCATCAGACCATTTTAGCGTTTAGCACCCTAAAAGGGGGGGGGGGAATTGCAGCAGCAGATTGACTCACTGCACAAGCAAAAAGGCTTCTTAATTTGCCAAGGAATCTCAATTCAACATGTAATTACAAACTTCAGAGCGTGTCAACTCGATCGATGACATCCAATGCCTTCATCCGGTCAATATAGAAGTTAATGAAAGGAACTGAAGATAGCCTCCGAATAGGGAAGGGACCTTTCTTAGTTTCAATTGTCGGAGAGTGGCTACTGCTTTTACTTAACCTATGGTGCTTGCTTAACCTAGTTTTTGCAGTGTCGAATTCCTGGCTCTTACTTATTCCAGGTGTATTTTTTCTCTTACTAACATCTCGAAGCATCTCTTGATCTTCGACCGTCAACATTGGCGATGCAGGCTTCTGTGTAGATAGTTGAACCATCTTCTGATTAGGGGACCTAATTGGAGACTTGACAGGTGACCTGATTCCACCATTGCAAGGCCTCGCTTGGGTAACAAGATGATGAAGCCACACTACCAGATCGAGAATATAAACTTCAGTTTTCTCCTTGTCTGCATGGTGCAGTGTTTCAATCCTGAGCAAGCCCGTTTGGCCAGCAGGTTTATGATTCACTTCAGACCTGAAATTTTGATCATAAAAGGTAAGCAACAAAAAGCATTAGAACCAAGGAAAGAAAAAGTATACACAGAACTTACCCAGTATTTGCCCATTCTCCAACCCAGCCAAACCCATGATGAGCTCTAGTTGAAACAAATTGGTACAATAGACAGAAGGATGAGTAATTGGTACATAAACTTAGAAGATAGTCAAATGGCTTCAACTCTGAAAACTGGAGAGAAGGAATTCCGGCCATGCCTTTTGAACAAAAACAACAAAAAATGACCACAAAAATAGGGTACCGTAAGATGCTTACTTGGTTGTGTTAGTGGCAATGGGAACTAGCCACTGCAATGTTTTTTCCATTTCCGCTTTGATTTGTGTGACAGTTAGCTGAAAAGAAATTTGAGAACTTGTAGTTCGGTGCATATTAGGAGTAAATATTTCCAACAGGCAACAGGGTAATAGCATCTTCAAAATTATGAATAATAGATGAGCAAGTAGATAAGTAATATTGCCGGCATCAAGATTATGCATATTTGTACCTCTTCTTTTATCTGAAATGACTGCAGTCTAAACCGCAAAGCAGACTTTATAGTAGGCGGTAGTCCTTGGTATAACGAATCCCTTGTATTAGGGGGCACCGAACTTGACCGAGAAACCTGAGAACATTAAACAACTAACTTATAAAACACCCTGTTTTTACTGAATAAAAACAAAAGCACTCCTAAAAAATTTTCCCAGCCTACGACATTTTATCATAAACTTTTAGACCTGTGATTATTGGCATGTCCATGAGCATAAACTACATGCTTATATAGCATATAATTTCTTGAAGTACCACAGGAAAATCGTATGAAACTGGTTTAAAAGAATCAAAGAACATATAGACCCAGACCAAGCTTACATCAGCGCTTCCAGAATATCATAGTGGTATCATGACTTTTCCATGCCACACTAAAAAAGGAAAGCATTAATAATTCCCTAGCCACATTCCTTACTAGTATTAAATTTTCGTAATTAAATAGCAAGTTTCAAATGAAATAGAGAAAAAACAATTTCAAAATAACATAAATTGAATAACTGAGCATTCATTGCTATCATCCATCGCACATTATTGCACACAGATTGAACCAAACAACCTATTAGTTGGAGCATATTCATAATATGCCTTAAAGGATTATATGTGCCTTGGGAAGGGGGAAAATCATGCAACGCCTTGCAAAAGCAGTTCATGATCTTTTTGTCCCAGTTGGGTCATGTAAAGGATCATACCTAAAACTATACGTACACCTGAATATAAGGCTCACAAGTCGACAACAAGCTCTAGAAAAATTTAGGATACCGCTACTAAAATAACAAGAATACTTATTAGGCTTTTATCAAGTTTGAAGAATAAATTCATCACGTCTGTTGCTGATTCTCCTCCAGTCTGTCAAAGCATTTTCTATGCTTGGGGTGATTTTCTTGATGTTATTTATCCCTTGAATCATAACACATTCTCTCTCTCTCTCTCTCTCTCTTTTGGAGCTTTCTTGTAACCTCAATCATGATAAGTAAAAAAGGATATAACAAAAGGAAGCATGAATGCTTCTGTGGTGTATAACCAAAATTGAACTACAAAAGATCCACTATCCTTTATCTCTAATAAGATATGTCCACTCAAAAGGACCTAAGACATCAATTCAGCGATCCATTCTAAATCTTCAAGAAATAAAGAAGAGGTAAAAAAGTCATTTGGCAGAAAATCTTAAACTTACAAGAGTATCAATTTGAGTAATGATATTTGCATAGTGCAAAGCAAGACCAGCAGACCCCAACTTTTTATGACTGTTAACAGAATCTTTAACAGGTTTCTCACCACCTGCAAGGTCATAGACAAAAACCAACACCATTCATAAATAGAACATATAGCAAATACTCTGTTTTTAAGCATAATAGAAAACGTGCATGAGCAGTAAATTTATGTATGTCATATTAACAGATGTAATCAACAAAAGAAGATAGCTATCCTTGAAAAACAAAAGGGCATAACATAATGTAAGGATTTAGCTTTGAATAGGAATTAAGTTCTGACATTTTATCCATTCTCAAACTATGGGAAATTAAGAATATCCGTTTACACAAGAAATCATACTTAGTTAAAGCTTTGATAATTGCTCAAGTCACTTTTTTTTATAAGAATAGGGCCTCATTAAAAAAACCCTTCATAACCATCAAGCTTCGAAGAACTCAACGGCCATTGGAATGAGGAAAAGAGTGCCCAAAATTTTATTATTAACACAAGGAATACATCCAAGAAAAGATCATTTTAAGTACAAAAGTTCCCCACTAAGACACCCAAAGCACTCACCCACCTCACCCATCCAAAACACCCCACACTAACCTATGCCCGACTTAGCTAAACTATCTGCTTCCCAGTTAGAACATCTCTGAACATGCCTAATAGTCACATTGTACTCCATCACTCTCTTGGCAATTTCTTGCTCAAGTTTTATAAGCAAGTGCAACTAAATATTTCGGCCATCACAAATTCTACAATAAAGTAATACCATTTCCAAATGTCTTCAGTTTAATGTTTTAAATGCTTACCAGCACTGCCAAAGGCCTCATGAATCTCCAAGTGCAAGAAATGAACAACATCTACGAGCTTCTCCATGACCTATGAACAGAAGATATAAAACTTAGTTCCACGACAGATATATATGTATTAACTTCAAAAATAATAACATTACGTGCAAAAGCTTGAACTAGTTGAGACTCAAAGTCCATTGAAAGAAAAAAGGACGAACAATATTAAAATTCATTTAGGAGTTCATACTGAAAAGAAAACAGATAGAGCTTTATTAACTCGTACCTCTTCCAAAATCTTTGACCAAAGGGATTTTTTCTTCAAACTTCTTACATGCTTCTTTTGACTCTTTAGTTCTGCTCTCAATATTGACAGGCTGTCTCCTGTAGTTCAAAAGTTAAAATTATAATATTAAAGGCCATTCATAAAATTAACAATATACCATAAAAATTACCAAGGGGGAAACTTAGTCGTAGAACACCTTCAGTCTTAAAAGAACTGAGACAGCAAATGATTGTAGAGTGTCACAAACCTAGAAATATCAGTTTGGCTCAAACTAGGCCACCGAAAACTAAGGTATAAATGCTCAGGCTGGGCAGCCCAAAAATGGAATGTAGCATCTACCAATCTAAATATGAGAGGTGCAGAAAATTCAAAGGGAAAAAGTATGGAATGCACGTAGAAATTCACAGAAATTGTGCAAAAGAAATGTCATATGAAAGCATTAAGATGCCCAAGAAGGCCCATGAAAAAGCTTAACAGTCGACCAAGGCCTCTGAAAACTGAGGTACAACTGGGATGGACAGCCCAAAAATAGAATGTAGAACTTCACAGAAATTGCACAAACTAAGTGTCATTAGAAAGCACTACCATGCACAACAAGGCCAGTGAAAAAGCTTAACAGTCTCTTAAAAAAACTTAATTCGGCACAGACGGTTTTGAATGGAATACATAAAAATAAATTCACACTACATATCTGCACTTTTGTTGGGTTTAATACACATTTTTTAATCAAGAAAAAAAATTAGAAACATCTTGTTAATCCAGAAGAAAACAATGCGAAATAAAAAAAATAGAGATCTAAGAAACAGGTTACCTCTTTGAGCAGCAGTTGAATTATCCTCTTCCTGAAGCTTCCGTCGATAATCTTGCTCAAATCTGTCCAAGGCATGCAACTCATGATATAATTCCTGCAAAGAAAATAGTTATCTCCCTAAATGATTAAAGATAACATCGGTTATAAATACGTAACAAATGAATTGTGCTACTATTCATATAACTTCTTACATAAGAAAGCATCAGAACAATAAGTTTGGAAGTCTGAAAAAATCTCAGCAATCTTATATCTAAAATCTGTACTCTTTTTTTTTTATAGAAGTTGGAGGTCTCATTAAAAACTCCCTTCGTATTCTTCCACATACTTAGAAGTATGTTGAAGAACATTGGAAGGAAGAAAAGAGTGCCTCATATTTTATTAAAAAGTAGACCAAGTAAATGTGGTAACACCGATCCCTCATACGGGAATATACACCATTACAAACCAAATCACCTAAAAATCTTACATCTTCAAACAAAAAGCCCCTAAGACAATAACCCTATTTCTAAAATACAGCACAAGATGTAAGATAGCATAGCAAAATAAAAACCAACAATTATAACCCCAAACTAAAAAACACCTCTGGAAACAGCTACCAAAACAATCACAATCCAATAGGAGGAGCAAGTTCTAATGAAATATCGTCAGGGACCCAAGAATAGGTTTTAAGGAAAGATCAACTTCATGCACCAAGACATTGAATAAATTATCACCGACCTTCAACTCCAACAACTCATCAATTCTCCCTTGACCTTTGTGAGTAATTGAATTTTAGCCCGATCAAAGGACGAAGGAAACTCACAACTGTTGTCAATTGCTATTAACTTGCCCCACTTAGTTGCAATGTTTTTGAAAGTATCCCAATTCCAAGCGTGAAAAAGGATACCTTTGCAAACTAACCACACACGCCGGCACTCCACCACTAGGCTCTCTGACCAAGTTTCCACTCTGGAAAACCATTCTGCAAGCGTCTCTAACTTATCTTCCTTCACGCTTCTCAAAGAATCAGAGTCTTCAAAAACCATGAGAACTACATTTCCAGCAGCTCTCATTAGCGTGAAACCAACTAATCCTTTGGCTTGTATTTGGTTAGCAAGATTACCAATTTTGATAAAGTTCTTGCACCACCCCACAAAACAGTTGCTCAACACTTGTAGTTTGTCTACGTCCACTACGCCCTCAACTTCAAAGAGTTTATTCCTCGAAATATCTTCCCTCCCAGACTTACTGTGATCAACTGTCGAGGACTTCTTCCAGAAAGACTGTCAGGGTTTATATTTAGCCAAAGAGACTCTGACTTTGCTGCCGTAAATATAATTACCATTCATCTTTGATATCGCTATCCTGGCTTCTTCTATTTTTGCATAGCGAATAAACCCAAAACGGACCCCTTTAGAGTTTCGTTTTTTAGGAATAAAGGCATCAATAACTTGACCATGAGTGCCAAAAATAGACCCAAGTCTCTTCCAATGGATCATCTCTGGAAGATTTTCGATAAAAATCGTGTAACAACCATTTTTGATCCCATTTTCGATTCTTGGATGTCCATCCTTCGACCAATTTTGAAACCCGTTTCTTCTCCTTCTCGTTACTTCGGAAAACTTTTCATAGGAGTAACCTTTCATAGCGCTCTCCTTGGTTCCATCATGATCAATAACAGCAATAGGAAGAGCTGGTGTTGCCTGAACTACAAAATTCTTCCCGACCTTTTGTTTCTTGCCTTGAGAGGAAGACATTCCATTCTCATTAGTCCTAAAATGTTGTTGACAGTCTGAAGTAGCTTTGACATAGCAATTTTTCAGACGCCCGATTGATAAAGAATTTTCACCCGACCTCGCTGAATATACTCTTAAATTTTGCTGATTTTGGGGCGAAAGCGAATGTCTGTAGGTAGTGCCGTCGGCCTCAACTGTCCAACTTGCCTCACGAGCCAATGCGGCCAGTACATCATTCATATTAGAACGCTCGAAGAGGTGCAAATTACCGTACTGCCTCAATCCGACAAGCAAAGGTCTGGTGAAAGCTCGCCTATTCCGTTTCCGGAGCTTTGTCCTCTCCTTAACGATCTCCCTCTCACGATTTCCCTTGCCGGAGTGTGAACAAGAGGTTGCATTGACGTGTCCAGCGGGTGTACTAGTGCGATTCGCAGTTGCTGGACCTGCTGCGTCTGTTGCAGTGAACCCACGAGTTCGCCTGGACTGGGACGGATGAAGGAGTTCCATGGAGAGAACTGGGTAGCGAATCTCGACCCAAGATAAATAGCACATTATAAATAGCACATGTACGGTACCCTATTTTTTGTTCCTAGAACCAATGAACTTAAACCAAAAATTCCCTACGATGCCTTTGGAAGGTAAATATTCTCATAAAAAAATACCCACATTTTGAAGTGCACAATGCAGCAAATTACTCCCCATTAGCAGATTATCAATTGAACAAGATAATTGATTTTTCAACTTAACATGGCTGGGAGGCTAGAGATCTAAGTCATACTTACTCAACTGGTGCGCTAAAATAGAAAATAAAACGTGCTACTTTATCAAGAGGATAAATACCATTGTCACAGTAAGCTTTAAAGGGGCAAAACTGCCATAAGAGACAAAGAACTGCATTAAAGTGCAAACATAGAGAAGCAGTTGGTCCTTATAAGTGCCTAGGTCAAGCTTGTAGGATATTTATTCCTTTGTAAAAGTGTGAAAATCAGGCCTTGTTGGATTTGGATTGAACAAATAGCTTACAATCTTTGAAGAAATCACCATAATTTATAGTCTGTCTCCTACACCAAGGTTTTGCTGTAAAAATTTCTCTCAACCACAATAAATTATCCATTATAGATAATAATGGGAAAAGAAGCAAAAGACAGGTGCTCAGAAGTGGGTGCAAAATATGGGAGCAACACAGGTAATATAAGGTGGAAGGAGGATAATCTCAAGCCAATGAAAATTGTGTCATTGCATTGGAAAATCACTCTTACAAAGTTATGTAACAAAGCCATGAATCAACAAATAATTGGAGTAGCGAGCAAGTTTTATGAAACCTGTGACAAGAATAAAATTAAAACTGCAGTCGGATTCTCCCACAACTTATATCTAGGGCCTCAATGAATACAACTTTTCATAAGACAAAACTGAAAATGTTATAGGGTCAAGATATTAAATTTTAATCTACAATTAGCAAGAAAGATCTCACTCTGCAAGATGGATTCACATGGTAAAATGCACGATGAACAAATTAGCATCCTTATTTCTTAACATAGTCCAATAGATAATTTAAGAAGAAAAAAATATGAATCCTTACAGAAGAAAGAACTGAAACGGGGGGGGGGGATGTTCTCTGCCACACAGACATATAGTTAACACAATGTCTCCAAACATGGGGGTAGGGGGAAGAAGTCTTCTCACCACAAGTTAGAAAAAGATGGAATGAAAGTCTTGGAATTAGAGAATTTAATCTTACACTGCAACTTCTAAGATCAGCACATGATACTAGTAAGAACTGATACTTACAGCTGTGTACTGAACCAAAGACATCAATTGTTTCATTATTGTCTCTGCTTCATCCTTCAATTGCTTTTCGAGTGTAAGCTCAGAACCCAACCTAAAGATTGTAAAAGATGATGAATTAAATATTTTAGAATCTTGCACTAATTTCGTAAATAACACTTAAAAAGAGTTCAATAATCTACAAAATTACTTTTCAAAATAACGATCTAAATTGTGCCACTGAGGATCTTTACAACGATTGCCAAAACGTACCACCTCTCCAGAAAAAACTTTTAACTCTTCCCTGTCGGAAATGGATAAAAAAATGTTCAACATTCTCAAATGCTTTTATAACTTAACCACCATTTGAGGATATTAACGAATTGTATAAAAACAAAATCATTTTCAAAGCATCATGTCATTTATTTTCACCTCTTATCAGCAGCTGCAATTCTCAGGAGTTCATCCATATCTCTTGATATCAAATTTTGCACACCTTCTGATGGAAGGACCACCTCTTTTAAATGTCTGATGTTCTCCTTAGAAAGTGATTGCACCAGATTGGCACCTTTAACAATTGTATTTGCCACTTCAAAAGCTAGAATTGATATTTTAATCCCTTTTGTCGTTACCCCAGAGGTAAAGCCACTGCTGAGGTTCAAATTCGTCATGCTACTACCAAGGGTGTCCAAAACTTCAACTGCCTTTCCAAGCCCAACACTACCAGCTCTACCTAAAGAGAGCTAACCTCAGAAACCTGCAAAAAGTAAGCAACAAGTGGATCTTTTCAATACTCATGAAGTGTGTTTGGTGGACGGTATCAAATAAACTTTGCAACAACCCAGTAAACGAAACAAACTAATAATCGTAGAGAAGGAAGCAACCTTCTCTGCTCCAGCAGTAGGCAGACTACAACCAGTAACTATCATGCTAGGAACCATAGTATTATAATATTAGAACAATAATTGTTGATCTGACTTCTCTCTACAAACACGAAATTCAGAACAACAGAAAATCATTCTGTATAAAACAAAATATCAATCAAGGTAAGACCCATGGTTCAGGGCAGACCTATATTTCTAACAGTCTCTTGCATATTTCCCTTCTGTTCCCATCAAAGAAAAAATTCTCCATCTCAATCCCAGCAAATGAAAAATATCTTAGCTATATCCACGATTCCATCCATCCTTAACATATTTCTAGAGAACAAGAGCAGTTGATGATGAAAATATAACTTCCAACCACTCATGAATATAAATCTTTACATCCTTTTACAATCGGCAAACACATTCTACATCAGTATCCTTCCAAGTAAGGAAATCTGACTTTAAATGGACAGCAACAACGATAGCCAGACCTAGTTCAGCATCTATAAACTATAGCATAAGTATAAACCAATCAAAGAATGGAGTCTAAGCCAATACAATGAACGCAAACGAAGCAAACAAAAAATTGGTACTAAATTTTTTATGAGGACACCGTAGAATGTAGAAAACAGACTGTAGGAAACAGACAAGTCTATTATTTTATTCTTTCTTACTTTCAGTAGAAACATATTACATATTTATATACAAATTATGCCTCTAAACTAGGAAACTCTAAGTTAGGAAAGATACTAATCCTAGGAGATGTAATCCCTTGAAATAAGGGATTGAAAACAAAAAATAATTACAGAATCTCTTGACAGCTCATTTCTATAATTCCCACACTCCTCCTCAAACTGGTGTATATATGTTGTATATACCCAGTTTGAATGACAGCTCATCAAAAGTCACTCGTGGAAGGGCTTTGGTGAAGATATCTGCAAGCTGTTTCTTCGTCGGAATGTACTGCAGTTGTGCAACTCCATTGTTGACCTTCTCGTAAATAAAATGTCTGTCTATCTCAATGTGTTTCGTTCTATCATGTTGTACTGGGTTTTTTGCTATACTCATAGCTGATTGACTGTCACTAAAAATCTCAAAATTCTTCTTGTCATCTAAGTCCAGTTCTGTGAGCAGTCTTTTAATCCACATTCCTTCACATATTCCGAGAGCCATTTCTTTAAACTCTGACTCAACACTACTTCGAGAGACAACAACTTGTTTCTTACTTCTCCAAGTCACCAAATTACCCCAAACGTAGGCACAATAGCCACTAACTGACCTTCTATCAGTTAATTCACCTCCCCAGCTTGCATCCGTATAAACCTTCACTGTTCTGTCTTGATTTTTTTCTAAATATAAGTCCAGCTCCTGGGGTAAACTTCAAGAACCTTAGAATTCTGTTAACAACTTCCAAATGCTCTTCTCGAGGATCACTCATATGTTGGCTGACAATACTCACTAAGTATGCAATATCAGGCCTGGTCAGTGAAAGGTAGATCAGCTTCCCAACTAGCCTTTGGTAGGTTTCCTTGTTTACTGGATTTCCAATTCGGTCCTTGCAAAATTTCAAGCCTGGCTCCATTGGAGTTTCAACTGGTTTGCAGTCGAGCATCCTTGTTTCTGCAAGAAGATCCAAAACATACTTACGCTGGTTTATGACCAACCCTTCTTCGGACCTTGCAACTTCCATACCCAGGAAATACCTCATACTCCCTAAATCCTTGGTTTCAAACTCCTTTGCGAGATTCATCTTTAGCTTTTCTATTTCTTCTATATCACTGCCAGTTATAATCATATCATCTACATAGACAATTAGGAGGGTTATCTTACCACTCGATGTAATTTTTCTGAATAATGTGTGATCTGCTTGGCTTTGTTTAAAACCATTCTGTGTCATAGCCTTAGAAAATCGATCAAACCAAGCCCTGGGAGACTGTTTTAAGCATAAGGATTTATTGAGCTTGCACACAGTTTTCTTAGTGACCTTTCCTTCTAATCCGGGGGGACCTCCATGTATACCTCTTCTTCAAGATTCCCATTCAGAAAAGCATTCTTTATGTCCAGCTGATGCAATTTCCAGTCCATGTTAATAGCTACTGATAACAATATTTTGATGGTATTCAATTTTGCATCCGGTGCAAAAGTTTCCTGGTAGTCGATGCCATAGGACTGAGAAAAATCTTTAGCAACCAGCCTTGCCTTGTATCTTTCCACACTCCCATCCGAATGATATTTGACTGTGAATATCCACCTACATCCGACAGCTCTCTTCCCTTCTGGAAAATCTGGCAAACTCTATGTCTTATTCTTTTGCAACGCTTTTATCTCCTCTTCCACAACCTTTTTCCACTCAGGAGAATGAAATGCTTCTGTCACATTTCTTGGGATTTTCACACTGTTAATACTGGCAGTGAAGGCCCTGAAATTAGACTGTAATTTCCCATATGCAACATACTTATTTATGGGATGGGCAGTGCATTTTCTTACCCCTTCCTAATAGCAATAGGAAAGTCATCAAGATCAACAGTAGTAGCCTCTTGGTAACCATCATTACCTTCTATTTCAGATGCAACAAGATCCGAATCTGGTTCTTGGCTTTCAGAGGCAACAGGATCCGAATCTGGTTCTTGGCGAATGCTAGGCTGACTGATTTCTTCAGCAACATCTTTCCTTCTTCTTGAGTAAACACTGAGTTGTTTCGGACGGGGAGTTATGGTTTCAGGGTCATTGTTAGGTGTATTTTTGGTAGTGGTGGAAGGTGTTTTGCAAGGACTAGAGTTTTGAGATAAGGAGAAAGGTAATTCATCAGAGTTATTTAGGTTATTCCCATCACCCTCACTAGGAACTGAGACAGTGCTAGCCGGCTTTGGAGAAACAGTAATAGGTAAAGAAAGGATAGGCTGTAAAGAAATATTGATTTGAACAGGTTGAAATTCCTTGTAACTCTCCCCTGAATTTCAGTTCCCGAAAAATAAGGTTGGTTTTCAAAAAATGTAACATCAAAGGAGACATATGTCATTTTTGTGGAAGGTGAGTAACACTTTTAACCCTTCTGACTCGAAGAATAGCCCAAGAGCACACACTTTATGGACCTAGGATCTAATTTCCCTTTGTTGTAGAAAATAGACTGTAGGAAACAGACAAGTCTGTTATTTTATTCTTTCTTACTTTCAGTAGAAACATATTACATATTTATATACAAATTATGCCTCTAAACTAGGAAACTCTAAGTTAGGAAAGATACTAATCCTAGGAGATGTAATCCCTTGAAATAAGGGATTGAAAACAGAAAATAATTACAGAATCTCTTGACAA